CAGGTAGCGTGCTGCGTTGCCGCATGCCAGGCCAGCCATTCATGTCACAGCTGCCATGTCTCTAGCGTGTAAATACGTATCGATTTTGGGAAACTTTAACGTGTATTGCATTGACCTAAGTCTTCCTTGGAGGACTAATGAAGTGAGGCAACTTTCGAGGTTTTACCTTTAGGAGTTGTTGTGCTAGATTGCATTATTGTACCACGTGAAGTGGGGAGCTTCGTGGTAAGAGGGGAGGCTCCGGCCAGGTTATTTCTGTTCCATGAGGACTCCCGACCAAGTCGAGGGCGAGACGACTTGGAAGAGAGGAAACCGAGAATCAGAGGGAATACCAAATCTCATGTTTTGATATTCCTTTTGCGTTGTAATGCTTTTTAGACGCTTATTTTCGAATTCCGAGGACGAAATTCTTTGTAAGGTGGATAGACTGTAATACCCAGTTTGATTATAGATTATTTGAGAATAATTATTGATTAATTATTATTATTATTTGTCATATTATTATTATTGTGTATTTATTTATCATTACTTGTCTAATTACCTAAGATTATTATTAAATAAAATGTGTATTATACATATATATATATATTTATACGGTTGTTTATGAATATTTTGAGATAAACATTTTAACATTGTTATTATTATTATCCTCATTATATGTCTAATTGTTTTAATTGCATATTATTAAATATTGTTATGTTTATTATGTATATATATTATTTAATTCCGTTATTTATTTTATCGAGGCGAGCCCCGAATATTCGTTAGTATCGAAACCGACCCGGCCAAATAAGTGATCTATTTTTTTTTCTTCTTTTCAACCTAAAAACCTTTATATTCTTGTTGGGCTATTTTGATTGTAACTAATGTTGGCCCAAATCCACAATTGTATCATTTAGCCAAAATTGAGAACAATTAATTTTGGTCACGTGCAAAAACCAAGGATTACTTTTCTTCGTTCTCTCCTCCCCAAAGACCGAGTCCGAGCTTCATCTTTCCGTTCAAATTGTTGTTGCGATCTTTCAGCCACGTTCGATTGCCCATGGCTCTTATATCTCGACAGAAGATTTCTAGCCCTCAGAATTGTTCAAGTCCTTTCTTCTATCTTCCCCTCTAACATCAGTAGCAGGTTTCTCAAAAAAAAAAAAAAATAAAATAAAATAAAAAATCAATTCGCACCTGCAAATTCCAACGACTCCATCCTCGTCGGTGTTCCATCTGAGAAACCTTACCAGTACGTTCACGCGCAGCAGTCTATTAGCCACGAGCCGAAGTTCCCTGACCAGTCCCAGAAGCCCGTCCGCCATCCGCCAT